AGATTATTGGTCTATCACAACTTTATCGATGTATAAATGTCACTGACAGACTTAACTACCGACCGATCGATCGATCGATCGACTGACTGACCGACTGACTGATTGACTGACTGACCGACTGAGTGATTGACTGACTGACCGACTGACTGATTGACTGACTCACCGACTGACTGACTGACTGACTGAACGACTGACTGATTGACCGACCGATTGACTCACTGATTGACCGACTGACTGACTGACTGACTAGCTGGCTGATTCATCCATTCATTCTTTGATTCATCCATCCATCCATTCATTCCATCCATTCATTCTTTTCTGTATTTTCCTTATTTTTAATTTCTTTGGATTGATTTAGGGAAGTCAAGGAATTACTGCATTCCACGTGGCGTGCGCTCAAGGATCTCTGGAGATTGTTCAGCTCTTTGTTTCTAAAGATCCCTCCATTTGTCAAATAACATTGATTGACAGCCAAGGCTTAACTCCCCTGCACATGGCTGCGCTCAACAATCACTCAGTCGTTGTACAGTTTCTTTTAAAACAGGTAATAATATATATATATTATTATACATATATATATGTATAAGTAATCATACGGTTTTTCTCTTTCAATAGCCCTTTTCACGGTTAATTTTTCTCATTTGCATTACAATGTAATCCAACGTGGATGCGAGGCAATTTCGGGATAAAACTACAAAATAGCCCGAAATTGCCTCTCATCCATGCTAGATTTTATTGTAATGCAAATAAGCAAAGGTAACCGTGAAAAGGGCTATTTGGAATTCATTTGCACGAGTGAGTTTTTCAAAAAGCTGAAATTGCACGAGCCGCTTATCAATAACATAAACATGAAAAAATTCGCGTGGAAGAAATGCTGGAAGATCTCTCTTTCTCATTTTCTTTCTTTCTCATTCGTGAAAACTTTTTTCAAAGTTCCCGCACAAAATTTTCGTCATCATTTTACGTGATATCATTGGCTTAGAAAATTCCCTATAGTCTTTCAGCCAATCATAATCCAGAATTACGATGTGTAATTTACACTGATGTTACACTTTTTGCACTTGTGTTACACTTGAACTTAACTGCTCTCAGCCAATCAGAATCGAGTAATTTTTTTCACGTATATTATTAGGTGTGTTAAAAGTTGGCATTTGTCGACTTTCTAAAACTACGTCAACTCTACAGCGGTTTCTCTTTTGTATACGTTCTGCGCATTCACACTAGATTTTACGTGATCTTTAATGTATCAATACGCCTTTCTCGTACGGTGTACATCTTACGGTTTAAACTGAACAAGCTCCATCAAGAAAGCTTAAAATCTATGTTCCCCATTCTGCGTTGCGCAGAACGAGTGTCCACAAATTAAAGGAGGCAACGACCTTGATTTAACTGTTTTTCTGTTCAGGGTGCTTCAGTAGACCCTCGTGACAAACTCCGCCGCACCCCTCTCTTCTTAGCAGCCGCCGAGGGCGCAACAGAGTCTGTTAAAGCATTAATTGACGGTGGTGCTGACGTCACGATCAAAGACGTGGACATGCAATCTTGTGTAAGAGTGGCCGTGGAACATACAGATACAATGGAGGTATTACTGCAGGTACGAAATACATCGCTGATTTTATTTAGCCGCTGCAGTTTATGAGGTTCCAATGGCTTCGACAATGTAGACCCTGTTAAAATATTTTGACACCACTGGGATATCTGAAAATGCCGCACTCTACTCGACTGAGTCGTGCCCAGTCGCCTCGTGGAGTACTTTGCGAAGCCCTGGGTATGATAAAAGAGAGCCTCCTCAACCATCACAATATATGGCTCTCTTTTCTAGTGAGAGAAGACTAGGAACCAGTCAAATACTGGTCCCAAGAGCCTCTCGAAGCTAATTTTCCTATATGGACGATTTTAAGTAAATATTCGATGAAGTATTATGTAAAGTTACCAAGCATTTATTTCTACTTAGAAACGCGCCGCTTTCCGATTGATAACTGAAAAGGATATCACAGGATTTGCCCCAGTTCACTACGCTGCCAAATATGGTCATCTCCAGGTAAGAGGAAAATGTCACTTACAACTTGAGTTAAAAGAGTGCAAGGGAGACTGTGCACCAGCTTTGTGCCTAGACTATCTACAATCTGCAAAGGACTTTAAGAAAGTGTAACAATCTTTCAACCATTCCTGCTCTTTTTGGTTTGTTTTGTTTGTTGTTTGTTGTTTGTTTTGTTTTGTATTGTTGTTTGTTTTGTTTTTCTAGTCAGGATTCCGTTAACGCTTTCTTCGATTCCCTATACTATTTCACACCAATTTCATGGCCTAAAAGACCCTTTATTTCTGCAGTAAAATACTCGTAGGTTATGAGTATAACCATTTTGCATAAAGTCAGTACACATTTTAGCGTATTTGTTACACCAACAGAATATCTTATTGTTTATGGAGCGAAATAGAGCGGCCACAACAGTGATGTCATATGGTCTGGATACTGCGCTTCACGGCGCTGCCAGGTACCAAAAATATATTAAAGAAGCTCAGTCACGGTATTTTGAGTTACTCTGGCCGCGTACAAAACTTACTTTTAAATTGAAGAAAAACGGAAAATAGTAGTTTACTAAGATAATATAAAGGAAGAAGAATGGTTAAAGATGGACAAGATTAACCCAGATTACAAACCACCAACTTGAAAATTTTAGGTTAAACTTTTCAAGATGCGCGAACCTTGAAGTAAATTCATCCAAGTCTTGTCAGACTGCACATATGCTAGTTGCCTCAGTTCATTCCACGTGGGAACATATTGCGGGAACTAGGAGAAA